TTATTAATCATTCATTCATTTTCTTTTCGGCTTAGTCCCTTTATTAATCTGAGGTCGCCACAGCGGAATGAACCGCCAACTTTTAAATCATTATATTCATATTAGAAATGATTGTTAAAACTATTATGATTAGAAATGTGCTGAAAAAATCTGCTCTTCGTTAAACAGAAATTGGGGGAAAAATAACTAATAATTCAGGTGGGCTTTAACTGTAGATGCCATGTGCGATTGGTGTAGGCAGGCTCCTGCTACTCAGCTGCACATGTTCTGGACATGTTCCTTTACATGTAGTAGATTAGTATTTTAAGAGCTTTTCTGAGGCATTTGGGGTGATAGCAGAGCCATCACCATTTCTCCTGTTATTCAGGGTGGCCCTTGAGAACGCTCCCCTCAACACGAGACAAAACAATGTTAGCCTTCGGTTCTCTTCTGGCTAGAAGACTGAGATTGTTTAAATGGAAACACCCAATTCCACCAACACACAATCACTGGATAAGAGAAGTGATGTCTCATCAAGTTGGAGAAAGTAAGGCTACTATCAAAGCGCCTGTTGAGACATTTCATAAGGTCTGGCAAACTCTTAGAATGGAAATGGATGCACACAACAAGACAATATAAGAAAAAAGGAACTAGTGTCAGGTTTTCATCATATCATTTACATCCGATTATCCGGGGCCGGGTCACGGGGGCAGCAGTGTTAGGAGAGAACTCCAGACTTCCCTCTCCCCAGACACTTCCTCCAGATCCTCCAGGGGGATCCTGAGCCGTTCCCAAGCCAGTCGAGAGACATAGTCCCTCCAGCATGTCCTGGGTCTTCCCCGAGGCCGCCTCCCGGTGGGACATGCCTGGAACACCTCATTAGGTAGGCGTCCAGGAGGCATCCGAAACAGATGCTCGAGCCACCTCAGCTGACTTCTCTCCATGTGGAGGAGCAGCGGCTCTACTCCAACTCCTCCCGGGTGTCAGAGCTCCTCACCCTGTCTATAAGAGTGCGCCCTGCCACCCTGCAAAGGAAACTAATTTCGGCCGCTTGTATCCGAGATCTTGTCCTTTCGGTCATAACCCAAAGCTCATGACCATAGGTGAGAGTAGGAACGTAGATTGACCGGTAAATCGAGAGCTTTGCCTTTCGGCTCAGCTCCTTCTTCACCACAATGAACCGATACATCAACCGCATTACTGCTGCCGCTGCACCGATCCGCCTGTCAAATCTCGTGCTTCATCCTTAATGAAGGTCATGCTGAAGGTCCATGTTCGATGAAGCCAACATAACGACATCGTCTGTGAATAACAGAGATAAAATCCTACGGTCCCCGAACCGGACCCCCTCCAGCCCAAGGCTGCGCTTAGAAATTCTGTCTATAAAAATGATGACACCAATTCTGTCCATGTGATGTTTTCATCTTTTATTTGATTACAACATTTGATAATGTGTTGTTCCTAAATCTGGAGCTCTGGAAAAGGGGTGCCTTTGTTTTTGTTTGCTTTGTATAACGTAAAAAACTAATAAAAAAATCTGGATGGAAAAAAATGACCTAGAAATAAAAATTAAATGACTCTGCTTCATTTTGGGGGTGGACTGTTTTCACACAGATTGATTCACACAGACTCCAGAAGTCTTTTCCTGCATGCAGTAAGGCATCAGCCAGACTCGGTGTCTGCAGCTCTGAAGAACACAAGCTTTCACACCAAACACGCTCACAGGAAACAGCTTCATTTCACTCCTTCGAAAACACCTTCAGATGCACGTCTGAGGAAACAACCTGCAACTAAAGCCCATTCCAGACTAACAAATCTCAAGATTTAGCTCAATCTGTAATGCAAAACCCAGCCAGAAAACCAGTTCAACACACACACACACACACACAAGCATAACCACAATGCAACACAAACACAACACTTTAAAAATCACCCTTAAAATCTACATTTAAATATATGGTAGAACATGTGTGCATGCATGAGTGTGCTGTGTAGTTAATGAATAATGCATGCGTGTGAGCAGACAGTGAGCTGTGCTGTGTGTTCGGAAACAGCCCACAATAGAAAATACTATAATAACTTATAGTAAGTACTACAGTGTTTTTGAACCATATAATACAGCATTTAAATTAAACAGTTATGGTGAATCTATAGCTGCTAGGGTAAAAGAACATCTATAGTAATATAAACACAATGAGCCAATACTGTAATTTACCTATTCAACTATAGGGTGTATTTTACTACAATACAACTGCATCATTGAACCATAATGTAATGTGTATAGTAGGGTTGTAACAATATACCGGTATGACGGTTTACCACGATTTGAACGTGCACGATTATCATACCATGAACAATTGCATATCAACGGTTTTAACCCTTAAAGACCGAGACAGCCGCCCGCGGCTAAAAATAAGTATTGCTCTTAAATGTTTAATAACTTTTGATCCGCTGATCCGATTTATACAATTCAAAGATTGGCATAAAGAAGAGAATCTCAGCTTTCCATTCGCAAACTTTCAAAGGCTCCGGAATCAGTGCGGTTACGTCATCAACATTTGACAACGCTGATTTGACGTTCGTCACTGTGTCTCCGGACAAACCAGACATGATACATTGAAGCAATGTCCCTCCTCCATGCCCAGATTGGTTCAAACTCGCTATATCACAACCAATAAGCATAGGTTTCACTTTTGTTTGTGGACCAACAATGAGCTTTTTGAACAACACGGAATGAGAGATAGGCATACATTTATGCGCGGCTAAATAAAACGCAAAAAAAAAGTTTTGCATGAAATAATTCTCATACTAAGTACTTTTGCATGTACAGCAGCACAGAAACATGACAAAACAGTGACACAGCAAAGACGAACTGCTGCTCTTGCTGTTTTCAAAAGACGCAAATGAAGATGCAGCTGTTTGTCTGCATTGCAGACAACCATATCCAAATCCATATCCACAGACAACCATATCCATGCTGGCACATAAAACCTAAAGATGTTCCATATTGAATCTAGTTTCGTTATGTAACTATTTATAGTATAGTAAATATTTATATCTATTTTTTTACTGAGGATTTGCACCATGTTAATTTGGACTTTATTTGGACTTTGACACATTATTTATTATTTTCCTATTTTTTTATTTGTTCATTGTAAGTGGTGTTGTTTATAGTAACTGAAAATACATTATTTGGAAAAAGTCAAATTTGCTTCACTGTTCTATTATTTTGTAACATTTGTAACATACCGTATACCGCGAAACCGTCAAACCGTGGTATTGTTTTAGACGATTATCATACCGTAAAAAATTCATACCGTTACAACCCTAGTGTATAGTAGTATTTACATAACATTGTTAATAAAATCTACAGCATACTGCAGTACTAACTTGTATTGTAGTATAATATAGCGCATAGTCGTATGTTCCTATTGTCGTTGTATTACATAGCAGTTACCACAATAATTTAACTATACACTCACTGGCCACTTTATTAGGTACACCTTACTAGCACTGGGTTGGACCCCCTTTTGCCTTCAGAACTGCCTTAATCCTTTGTGGCAGAGATTCAACAAGGCACTGGAAATATTCCTCAGAGATTTTGCTCCATGTTGACATGATAGCATCACACAGTTGCTGCAGATTTGTCGGCTGTACATCCATGATGCAAATATCCCGTTCCACCACATCCCAAAGGTGCTCTATTGGATTGAGAGCTGGGGACTGTGGAGGCCATTTGAGTACAGTGAACTCATTATCATGTTCAAGAAACCAGTCTGAGATGATTGAGCTTTATGACATGGTGCGTTCTCCTGCTGGAAGTAGCCATCAGAAGATGAGTACACTGTGGTCATAAAGGGATGGACATGGTCAGCAGCAATACTCAGGTAGGCTGTGGTGTTGACACAATGCTCAATTGGTACTAATGAGCCCAAAGTGTGCCAAGAAAATCTCCCCCACACCATTACACCACCACCACCAGCCTGAACCGCTGATAAAGGCAGGATGGATCCATGCTTTCATGTTGTTGATGCCAAATTCTGACCCGAGCATCTGAATGTGTCAGCAGAAATGCAGACTCATCAGAGCAGCAACGTTTCTCCAATCTTCTATTGTCCAGTTTTGGTGAGTCTGTGTGAATTGTAGCCTCAGTTTCCTGTTCTTAGCTGACAGGAGCGGCACCCGGTGTGGTCTTCTGCTGCTGTAGCCCATCCGCCTCAAGGTTGGACGTGTTGTGTGTTCAGAGATGCTCTTCTGCAAAGCTCGGTTGTAACGAGTGCTTATTTGAGTTACTGTTGCCTTTCTATCAGCTGGAACCAGTCTGTCCATTCTCCTCTGACCTCTGACATCAACAAGGCATTTGCGCCCACAGAACTGCCACTCACTGGATATTTCCTCTTTTTCTCTGTAAACCCTAGAGATGGTTGTGCGTGAAAATCCCAGTAGATCAGCAGTTTCTGAAATACTCCGACCAGCCCGTCTGGCACCAACAACCATGCCACGATCAAAGTCACTTAAATCTCCTTTCTTCTCCATTCTGATGCTCAGTTTAAACTGCAGGCGATTGTCTTGACCATGTTGACATGCCTAAATGCATTAAGTTGCTGCCATGTGGTTAGCCGATTAGAAATTTGCGCTAACAAGCAGCTTGACAGGTGTACCTAATTAAGTGGCCAGTGAGCGTATATAATCGCAGTTACAACAATTTGTTAATGAACGCTGCAGCATACTGTGGTATTAACTATAGTGAATTGATAATCTATTAATACTGTAGTATACTTTCGTTTTTACTACAGTAAATTGTGGTGTTCTGTAGTAAAATATACCCTATAGCTGAAGAAAACTCCAGTATTGAGTCATTTGTTTATATTACTATTGTCCTTGTGTTACCATAGCAACTATAGATTCACCACAACAGATTAATTCAAGTATGGTTCAAAAACATTACAGTGTTTACAATGATTTACTACGGTATTTAATTTCATGTGGGAGGTTTGTCATGCTTTTGTCCTCTCGCTCACCTTATTGGCCCAGGCATCCTCATCCCAGGACGTGAGCTGCAGAACGCGGATGATCTCGTTGATTTCTGTGTTCATCTTCTCCACCGTGAAGTTCCTGTTCTTCAGCGCCTCCTCCACACCCTTTCCCTGAGACGTCCTGGTGGTTACGAAGATCTTGATGCCTGTGTGAGACACAATCACAGTGTGTGAACATTTCTGTGTGGAGTTTGCATGTTTTCCCCGTGTTGGCTTGGGTATCCTCCGGGTGCTCCGGTTTCTCCCACAGTCCAAACACATGCGCTATAGGGGAACTGATTAACTAAATTGGATTTAGTGCATGAGTGTGTGTGAATAAGAGTGTATGGGTGTTTCCCAGTGCAGAGTTGCAGCTAGAAGGGCATCTGCTGAGTTAAACATGTGCTGGATAAGTTGGCGGTTCATTACGCTGTGGTGACCCCTGATTAATAAAGGGACTAAGCTGAAGGAAAATGAATGAATGAATGAAAGAGTGTACTGTGGTAAAAACTAAAGTACACATTACAGTTTAACAGTTCGCTTAACTTTAAAGTTAAGTTCACTACCCTGCTGAAAAATCCAGCTTAAACCAGCCTAGGCTGGTTTTAGCTGGATTTTTTAGCAGGGTAAGAGTTCATAGAAAACAAAAATCAGGATTAAACTGTGTCACACAACTCTCTAATGGCCCGTTTTCACTGAGTGGTATGGTACGGTTCGGTTTGGTATGATTTATTGGACGTTTCCACTGTCAAAAGGCGTACCAAACCAAACCGTACCACTTTTTCGGCACCCTTTCGAACGGGTACCAAACATGAGAAAGGGTACCAAAAGGTAAAGCTAGACGTGCAACTGAACGCTACTGGTTTACAGACATACGTCATTCGCTTATGCAACAAGCCAGAATGAAAACAAAAGAGCCGCCATGTTTGAAATAGACAGCGAGAGATTACAGCAGAATTATATATGCATATAATAACGAGCCATGTTCAATCCGGGCTCAAACAAACCTTGTCGTCGTCTTGATGAACAGCCACAAAGCCATGGAGTAGAGCAGATTTACCCTGTGCCTCGTCGTTTTTTACGAGCCAGTCTGAAGCGTGAGCGGTTTCGCTTTCTATTGCGCACGCATGCGCGTCTACATCTGCCATAACAAACTTCTTGAGCTGATGATAGTAACGTGCGCTTGATTATTGACGTGCGTTTGAAACCCGATTCTCTCAGACACTAACAAATGCAAGAGTGAGGTGTGGAAAAAAAGAGAAGCCGGGAAAAAAGGGGCACATTATTTCTCCAGCAAACGTGAACAAACTGCCATGTTTTAATTTTTATCATCACCTTTTGGACTAACATGAACTCAGTGGCGTAGCGGACGGGCCCGCAGGGCACGCACCGCGGGGGGGCCCCGCGTGATTAGGGGGCCCCGCATCGTCGTGATTTTCAATTATTAAAAATCCACCGGCGAATGCAATAATCAAACTCTTGGGAACAACTGTGGTCGGAACCAAAGTTCACACGTCTGTGTTCTCTGAACACCTCTCAAGTGGTGGACTACTTAATTCTGATTGCTTGCCGCCAATGTTGCCATCTTAGCGACTTTGTCACTAGATTTAGCGACTTTTCAGACCCCCTTAGCGACAAATCTAGCGACTTTTTTTTGTGTTATTGGAGATTTTTTTAGACTGTCATTTGTCCATACTGTACCGTCCCTACTCTTCTCAACGAGCTGCGTGTGATGCCGCCGGCCCCTCCCCCACCTTACAGCACTGACAGGCGGCCCAGTCAGTCCTCTACAGCAGCCTCTCCCACCTGCAGCCCGAGAGCAGATCACCCCTCTGCGTACCGACGACAAATGATTTAGCACAGGCAGTGTGAAGGTATTTCCCTTGTACAGTCAAACCGATCTACTTCTACTTTATTTTAACAATTTAATTGGACCGTTTATTCTTTTCTTGTTCACAATCACAGATATTAGTGACAGTTTCTGAACTTGTCTGAGTTTATTTCATATGAGAGATTACTGCACATTCACTACACATCTATAATGACATACTGTATTCAAACAGCAATAAGTTTAGTTAAATAAACATGCTTATATAAAGTGTAGTGCAATTATAAATATCACTTTTTTTATACTTTATTTTTATTTCTTTTAAGGAGAGAAAAAAAAAAACACAAAAAGTAGGTTTAAAAAAAAAATAATAATAATAAAATTAGGTAATTAATACAATAAAACACCAGAACTTAAATGAACGGTTGACAGGTCACATATTTCCTTACAGGTCACATGAACAAATACATATATAAATCAGGTAAGTGTAGTGCAATTATAAATACCCCTTTATTAAACATAGGCTGTTAAACAGAAACGGTAGAACGTGATGACGTCAGTGATATGCAAATTGACGTATGATGTATTCCCCCCCCCCCCCCATTCATCTGGGGGCCCCGTCAGCGATCCCTGCAGGGGGGCCTCTGCATTTTGCGCTACGCCACTGCATGAACTCAGAATGATGGAATGACTCTCGAACGGAGGCTACATGAGCTGCTGAAGATTACACACACAGATGAGAGGTTTTCACTCACTGTAGGCTATACTTTGTGTTGTTTTGAACCAAACTGAGGACGAAATGTCTGCTGTGTGTAGTTCTTCTGTAGTTGGTAACATATCGGAGATGGTAAGGGTCTGTATGTGTTCATATATGTTCATTTATTTAATATAATTACAGACGTTACAGTAGGCTATTTCACACTGTCATTGATCTGCAGTTATAATCAACTCATGTTTATAGAAAAGTTAGTAATAAACATTTATCAGACTCAGACTCAGCTTTATTATCCCGTTAGGGAAACTAAAATTGCAACAAGGTACCATACACAGGTGAAGTTCCATGTACACATTAAAAAAAATACTACTATACAACATCCATACATCAGTATATAGAAACATCCCCCTCCCCCTGGACTCATTTAATGACCTAATGGCCACCATTATAAAAGAATTTCTGCTTCTATTTGTCCTGCAAATAGGAACCCTAAAACGACGTCCTGATGGCAACAGCTGAAATACAGAGTACAGTGGGTGATCCGGGGTGCATAGGATACCCTGAGCTCTCCTAAGTACATGATTTTGGTAGATTACCATTAGACCAGTCTGATTAAAACCAATGATCTTGCCTGCCACCTTCACCAGGCTGCTCAACCTGTTCTTGCTTGACACACTCAGGGTGCTTTCACACCTGTGAATCGATTCAGTTGTTCCGAAACAGAGATTAAAATTGTTACATTGTTGCTCTTTGCTCTTGGAGCGGTTCGCTTTCACACTGCAAAGTTTCTAATCGGACCAAAAGAGCTAAAGCAAGTCACGTGCGAGTAAACTCCCCTTACATTGGTCAGAGTGTCAGGGTTTATTTTGCAGCGTCCCACTCAGCTGTCAGGAGAGGTGGTGGTTTGGTGGTGATTGACAGGGTGCGTGCGCGACGTGTCTGAGGAGAGATGCGGTGGGGAGGGGTGAGAAGGGTGCGCGAGATGCCTATTTGAGGACTGGGAGGGAGACGCGAGATTACCGAGAGATCATCACTCGTTTGCGGGCATCCGGAGACCCGCGAAACTTCCCGCCATACTCATAATTCTCTCTTCATATAGCCGTAAGCCTATTACATATCCATAAAACACTGTGATATAACCGCGCTCGGATCGGATCGCTTTCTCACTGCAATCGAACCGCTCCGGGGTTCGTTTCAATCGAGCCGAGACCACCTCTTTCTTACTTTGGCGCGGAACAGAGCGCGATTGCTGGTTTCACATATGCCAATCGAACCGCGCTAACTGGGCAAAAGAGACACGTTCCGAAACAAAAGTGTAGGTGTGAAAGCACCCTCAGATTACCGTACCAAGCTACAATGCAAAAAGATAAAACAGATTCGATAAATTGTTTATAAAACAGCGTCATCATAGAGGTACAAACCTGAAATGATCTAAGTTTCCTCAGAAAAAACAGTCTTTGTTGGACTTTTTTATATACAGCCTGGGTGTTAGGTTGAAATGTCAACATATTATCAATAACAACCCCTAGATATTTATGTGTGTCAACAATTTCAATGTCCAAGCCTTTAATATTAGTTATGTTTGGGGTTGGAGAAGCCTTCCTGTAATCTATCACTATATCTTTTGTCACACGCATTTATGTGTATAAAGCAGGCGTGTCCAAACTACGGCCCGCGGGCCATCTGCGGCCCGCAATCAGTTTTGTGGTGGCCCGCGAGGCTTTTTATAAATAATAATAGAATCTGGCCCGCTATACAAAAATGAACGTAATTCAATAAATAACCACAGGGTGTCGCTATTACATGCATTCAATTAAGCAGTAGTTCTTGTTATGATCTATCTATCTATATATCTATCTGTCTGTCTGTCTGTCTGTCTGTCTACACACAGTTGAAGTCTGAATTATTAGCCCCTCTTAGATTTATTTCTTCTTTTTTAAATATTTCCCAAATGATGTTTAACAGAGCAAGGACATTTTTACAGTATGTCTGATAATATTTTTTCTTTTGGAGAAAGACTTTTGTTTTATTTCGGCTAGAATAAAAAGCGGTTTAAATTTTTTTATGAACCATTTTAAGGTCAAAATTATTAACCTCTTAAGTCTTCAGAACAAACCATTGTTATAAAATAACTTGCCTAATTACCTTAACTTGACTAGTTAACTTTATTAACCTAGTTAAGCCTTTAAATGACACTTTAAGCTGTATAGAAGTGTCTTAAAAATATCTAGTCAAATATTATTTACTGTCATCATGGCAAAGATAAAATAAATCAGTTAGTAGAAATGAGTTACTAAAACTAATGTGTTTAGAAATGTGTGGAAAAAAATCTTCTCTCCGTTAAACAGAAATTGGGGACAAAATAAATGGGGGCTAATAATTTAGGGGGGCTAACAATTCTGACTTCAACTGTATATATATATATATATATATATATATATATATATATATATATATATATATATATATATATATATATATATATATATATATATATTTATTCTATATTTATATATATCTATATCTCTATATATCTATATATATATATATATATATATATATATATATATATATA